GCATCATCCCACATTCCCTCTGGCAGCTGCTAACAGCGGCAGCTGACTGCTGACTTGGACCCTGCCAGCAGGCCTGGCCCTTGAGGCCAGGATGGCTGAGGTGAGCATTCCAGCGACCTGGGTTGGCATGAGAGGATTGAGGCATGCTGCTCACCAGTGGTCTCTAGGCCAAGAGGCTCTCATGCCCACTACACAGAGCCAGCTCCCAAGAGTCCTGTCACACAAACGCTGGCAAACCTCCATTGTGCACACCCTTACCCTCACAGTCTGACAGCTGCGCTGCCCGGCCCTCCAACCCTTCACTGTCTGAGCTAAAGCCAACAAGAGCCCCCAGAAACAGGCGCTCGAAAGTCTCTCTGCAAGGGGGTCCAAAGAGGACGCTCCTGCACCTCCCCTGTCATGCGTCCTTCACCTCCTCAATGTCAGGGCCAACTGGCAAAATGCTCCGGGCAGCCCTGATTTAACGACTGATCCGTGGGAGCTGAGGAAGGTAGCCAACAGCCCAGATGTCTAGCTCCTGGATTCTGACTCTCCTGGACTAGTACAAGGCCCAGATTGGCCCCAGCTGCCCCCTTTACCCAGATCCTTTATTTCTGTCTCCAAGCACAGACCACGAGCTCCATCCTCCCTCAGAACCATAACCTGCTGCGGGGGCCACAAAAGAAGACCAGGAAACCTCCAGTCACTGAGGGGACCATCGGCACAAACATGCTTGGAAGTCGAGGACTTAGAAGTCCACGGAGGAATTCTCGGGCTAGAACTCCTAGACCTGAGACAGAGACCACCGGCTGCTGGCCCAGTGCTTCTGGGTCTCCCAGCCAGGGGGCCCTTCAGGAGCCTTTCAATCTCCTTGGTGACAGCAGGGAAGATGAGGTGCTCAGTGTTAAATCACTGAGTGTATAAGGCAGCCAGAAAACAGGGACGGGCCAGCCACGAGGGGCCACACTGCCCACGGAGAGGGCTGGGGACGTACCAAGCAGCCAACGACCCCCGTTTCTTCCGTTGGCTTTGAGACCTCACCACACAGCCTCAGGCATTCCATCCACCCTGGGGCTTTACTGAGAGGGAGGCCCTCCCATGGCACCCATGACCCTGGGGCTCAGAAATAAAGCCTCCCCTGGTTAGGTTAGATTAACCAATGACTCAGGGCCAAGTTCACAGCCCAGTGGGAAAGAAGGCCAGACCCTCCTTGGCTTCCCCAGAACGTCCAAATCACCTGCCACCCCAAGTGGCTGCCTACACTGGACCATCCCCATCCCTGGGTGCAGGGGCCTGGCCCAACATGACAACAGTGGTGGGATTTCAGCTCCAGGAAAACTGCACAGAAGGAGGTCACATCCCACTGACCCTGGATAGGGCCTCAGGACTAAGGTCAAGGCAGGACTGAGGCACAGAAGTGGGGGGACCCAGCCCCCTGCAGACCCCAGCTATGCTGTCCTTCAACCTGTCCTCAGCCCAACACGCCACCTGGCCCCCCATGCCTGCCTGCTTCCCAACAACATCAATGTTCCTTGGGGCAGAGACTCAGCCTTTGCCAGTTTCTGTTGAAAGACTTTCTGAGGATTTTACACAGAACCATGAGGGAGGGGATGTCATTGATCCCCTCCAGATACAGACCCCCTAGAAAATTCAAGGGGGGAATAACAGCGCACAGGAATGCCTGTCCAGCCCATAGAGACACACAAACATACGAGCTCTTTTTTCCCCCCCTTCCAGACCCTGATGGGCCCAAAAGAGCCCTGGACGGGCCTGAAATGTCCGGCTCGGGTCAGAACTGGCCCTGAAATGGAAACCACAGAGAGGGCTTGCCCCAGGAGCTCATCTTCCCTGTTGGCCAGGCTGGACCCCCCAGTCTCCCCAGCTCATCTGTTCAGTTACCAGGTTTTAGCAGCCGCTCTCACACACATCCCCTTCCCCTGCTCCCAGGACTCCAGGCCTCCACCTCCTGAGTTCAGGCTTCAGTTCAGCACCCCTCCTCCAGCCCCACTATGAGGACCCCAGGCGCAGCCTCTCCCTCCCACTCCAGCCCTCCGGGGCTCAGTTTCCTCCTTGGCGTGCCTACTCCTTTAGGAGGCACTTATCAAGCTCAGGATCCCCTTCTTCCCAGGTACTTTAAGTGAGGAGCCCTCATGGGCTGGGCCCACGTCCTCGACTCACCCCTGGCTCTCCAGGGGCCAGCACTCCATCTAAGGTCTTGGTAAGTGGTTCACTGTATCACAGCCTGGGGTCAGCAGCCTGCCTCCCCGGCTTGCCGGGTGCCTGGCCCACAGCAGGCGATTGGGAGCTGGGGGGAGGAGGCCCCCTCCTTTCCCAGGTCTCAAGGTCTTCCCTCAGAAGCCTGTCTGTCAGCAGCCCCCCACAAGTGACAGATAACAGTCAGGGAGGCCTTCAGCAGAATAAGCAGGACGTCTGGACATATGTACTCTACTGCCATCCCACCCCACAGAGCTCAGCCCTGGCTCACAGGAGAAAGGTGTTTGGTTCTCCTGTGCCACCCTGGCCAGATGGGAGCAGAGGGCCAGGAGGCACCTGGCTCTGTTCCAGGGAGTCAGGGATGGACACTCTCAGATTGAATTACGGGCTGCCTCAGCACTCTCACCAGGCCTCCTCCTCGAGGCCACCCCAAAGACGTGGACAGGCATGGGATAAACACCAGGCTCCCAGGGCTCCCAAGGCCCTGCCCACAGGCCTCTAACATCATTTCTCCTCCTAGGGGTACTTCAGGCAGGGAGGCAGCTGCTCAGAGGCCTGAGTCCAACCCAGGGCCTGTCCAGAGCCTGGGCAGCCTCCATCCCCATCTCACAGCCCACACACATCTCCAGGTGAGACACCCTTCCTCTCTCCCACTAACCCAGGAGAGACATGGCCTTCATTCAAGAACGAGGCCTGGATTCCACAGGCCAGGAACAGGGAAGCCCCGGCAGCTGCTGAGGACCAGCCTGAGCCTGGGCTCTGGGCTCAGCTCCTCTGGCCCCTTGGAAAAACAGGGCAGCTGGATCTCCGAGGTCCCAGCAAGCTCTCCAGGAGAGAGGAGAAAATACACACGGGGAGGGGGAGGGGAGGAGGACGGCAGACAGGCAGGGGCAGCTTTCTCCACCCCAGGAGGGACCCAGCGCTCATCTCATCCAACCCCGGGAGAAAACTGAGGAGAAGAAAGGCTTTGGTGGCCCGAGCCCAGGCCCACTGACTCCCAAACCAAGTCATTTCCCTTCCTTTCTTTTGCAAAGGTCACAAATATTTTCTGAGTAGATGGATCTCTGAGTCAAACGATCATTCCAAACAATGTAGCAGCTGTGAACTATTTCATGATGTTCCCTTCAGAGGCAAGCACCTAACTGCTCCATCGGTGAAGCCTCAGGCCAGCTCCAGCAGGTGCCACCTGGGCCTGAGCTGCAGGCTGACAAACTGAGGCCTCAGCAGAGTACAGGCACCTGTCCTTGGCCACAGCCAGGCGGATTTCGGAGCCAAAGGCACCGGACCCAATTCACCTCAAACTGCCTTTTGGACAAGCCAAATGTTTCTTTGGGCAAAAATCCTTCAAAGTTTCTTGCAGATGCAAACATGTAGCAAAATGCCATTTACCTTTGGAAAGGGGCCCCACCAGAGAGGCAAAGTTCTGGCCAGCAATGGCTGGAGAAGGCCCAGCTGGGATTGAGTGGAGATAAAGAGGGAGTAGGAAGAAAGTCCCAAGGGAGAAGGAAAAGGGGGGGCCCTCCTCACAGACCACCAGCCTCCCCGTCCCCCTCCCCTGACATTTCCCAGGAAGACAAGAATCACCTGACTGACCCCTGATTTGCCAGGCCAGGGCCATGGGCACATGGAGGCTTTGGGCCATCCCACCAGAGTCAGACCAACCTCCACAACCTCCTCCTGCCATTCCCAGATACCCTTTAAAGAGGTAGCGGCAGAGGATTAACCGTGGAAGGGGAGGCCGTGTACCCCCCACCCCCACCACGAAGCACCGCTGGGCTTTAAAAGGCGAGTGGGCGACGGATGGGGCAAAGGCCGGTGGCCCCCTCAGGAGCCGGGGCGGGGGAGACTTCAGGAGGATCAGAGCAGTTAACTGGTCACCCCCAAGCTGCACCCAGTTTTCACAGTGGGGAGATGGGATCTTTTAAGGCTCGGTGTGCCTTTTCTCTCTGACATGCGGAGTGCAGCAGGCCAGGACACGTCCAGAGAGGGCCCGAAGGCTTCTGGTCAGGGCACCCCTGGGCTTGGCTTAGCAGGGAGGGAGTGGAGTTGGGGGGGGGGCGCGGGGGACGCAAGCCGGCCCTATCCTGGTAGTTTCTCAGATTGGCTGCAGACAAAAAAAGCCCGAGTGCTCCCGAATTCCCAGGGGGCTCCGTTTCTTCCCGAGCCAGGCAGGATGGCTGTGTTAGCTCGGCTAGCCGGGCTAGCCAGTGGGCCGCCTTGGCCTTGGCCTCGGCCCTGGGCTCGGCGGGAGGGAGGGGCCGGGGGCTGCCCCGGCCCGAGGACGTGTCTAATTGCTTGGGGTCCGGCTCGCTCCCTACCGATGGGGGGGAGGGGAGGAATGAGCCCCCCTCCGAGGGCCGAGCTTTGTTTCAGCTCTTGGGGTTCTTCGGAAAGGCAAAGCCAGGAGAGGGAAGTTGGGGTGAGGCCCGCCCCTCCCCGGCTGGCTCTGGCCTAGGCAAAGGTCAGCCGGGGTGGGGAGGGCAGGGGGGCAGTGGGTCCTGCGCCAGAGGCTCGGAGGCCAGGGCCCCGGGACAAGTCGAGGCCCCCAGAGGCAGCGCGGCCAGGCCCGAGCTCCGGAGGGAGGAACGGGGAACCGGGAGGGAGGGGCCGCTCCCTGGCACGAAAGCCGGGCCGGGCCAAGCGGAGCCCCCCGGAGAGCCGCACCGGGGGCGGCGAGGGGGCGGAGCCTTGGCCGGGCGCCCCCCCCCCCCCGGCGCTCCGGTGGCTGCCCCGGTGCGCTCTCGGGCACAGCCGTCGCGTCCCGCCCCGCCCCGCCCGGCCCGGGCTGCCCCCCGCGCCCCACTTACGTCGTCGAAGAGCGAGCCCACGTTGGCCGTGACGAGCAGGATCCCGGTGCCGCCGGCTCCCGCCGCTTTGCCAGCCATCGTGCCCGGCCGGGGTGTCGCCAGGCAGGCGGGGCGGCGGAGGACTCTCGGCCCGACGGCGGGAGGCGCCGGGCAGCCCGGACCCCCGGGCTGGGAGGCTGGCTCTCGTCCGCGGGGCTCCGCGCGGGCCCGGAGACCAGGCCGGGGCTGGGGGCCGAGCTCAGGCGGAGGCGGCCCCGACGGGGCGGGCGGCGGCGGAGGCGGCTGGCAGCGGGCAGCGCGGGTGGCAGCGGCGGCAGCAGC